TAGTTATTGAAGTTTAGTTCATTGTATTATTTGATATTAAATATTGTCTGAAAATCATGCAGTAAATATAGCCTTCTATATTTGTTTTATTTTAACTTGAAAAAGGAACAGAATAGGAAAGTAAAATAAAAGTGTGCTATATTTCTGATTTCATCCCGGCTTAGGGTTTTGAGACTAAAAAAGCCTGTAAAAGGTTGAGAGGTTTACTTTTCAATTCGAGCTCTCAGATCAGAAACACTAACACAGTGTGCACTGTATTTGAATATGAGTACCATTCCATCTGCACAGAATACACAACTATAGATATACATACAGACTACAGAAAGAAATTGCAGCAAGATATACAGCATGACATTCCAAATATCGCTGTTTTTGGCATTGACAGCGTACATACTACAATCTTCATCGGCCCTGATCACACACAGGTCAGCTGCGGAGATAGCCGAGTGCATAGCGAAGTATTCGCCTGACGCTACTGTATATGGCCAATCCGACAATGCATTCTACCAGTCGTACATAGGCACCAATCTTGCTTTTGAGGACGAGAAACCCGAGCTGGTAGTGATTGTTACGTCCGTAGAGGACATCAAAGCAGGAGTTAAGTGTGCCATAGAACTTGGCGAGGAAGTAGTAGTTCGAAACGGCGGTCATTCGTTCGCGGGCTATTCCTACACCTCTGGAATCATGCTTAATCTCGATGCGTATAATGCCATTGACTTCAATAGAGTATCCAATGAAGTAACTGTGCAGTCCGGTAATAGGCTGGGACGCGTGTACGGTGCTCTGATCGAAGAATCAGAGCGATCGGGGAACACTCAGGTGGTGGGCGCGGGTACTTGTCCTACTGTAGGGGCGTCGGGACACACACTGTGTGCAGGGTGGGGTATGTTTGGTCGCAAAGTGGGATATATAGGTGATCAGATAGCCTCTATAGATCTAGTAAACGCAACAGGTGAGTTGATTACTGTCAGCGAGACAGCTAACAAGGATCTATTTTATGCTCTAAGAGGCGGGTGTAGTTCGTCGTTTGGGTTCATTGAATCGATCACATTCAGGATGACAACGCTCGACACAGACCGATTTGTGTACATCGATACACGTGTATATGACATTGACAATGTTGTGCGGGTGGGTAACTGGTTCCAACAGTATGGTCCAGAGGACGCACCGCCAGAGCTGACCATTCAGTGGACCTTTGGTATTGGAGGTGGGGTACCGTACGGGCGTATTCGCGGGCTATTCTTGGGTTCTGCGACAGTCGCAAAGAAAGAGCTTCTAGCCGATTGGGAGGCAGGCTTTGACGGTATATATAATCAGTCAGAGGTGGAAGATATGTTTGTTGAATATGACTACCTAGGAGCCGTCAATGAGTTCACTGGACTGGCGAGTAATGGTGGGCCGTACAGTGCACTTGAGCTTATGGCGACCGACGAGTTGGATAGAGAAACTGTGTTCTACAAGAATAGTTATCTCCAGTTCGAGGTTATCAATGACCGCCAGGCGTACGTCAAAATCTTCAACCATTTTGAGGATGGCAATCTAGACTTCTTGCAGTGGAAGTGCATGGGAGGCGCCGTGGATATCCGAGACGGAAAGGAAATGGGCAGCGTGGATCGATGGGATCAACGATCACCTGTCATCAGGGGTCAACGTATACAGACACACTACGGTCTTACCGCTAAAAGCTGGCAGGATTACGAGGATGTCAAGGCCAGAGTTACATTGGCTGAGCAAGACTTGGTCCCTGATTGGGTCTCAGGAGATCTGTGGCGGTACCCAGGGTATCTGGTTCGCGAATATTCGGATAATGCCACAGGACCAGAGTATTTTGGTGCGGAGAATACGGTGAAGCTGGCTGTGATCAGACGGACAGCAGATCCCGAGGGCACTTTATTGGCTCTATCTGCTAAAGACTTGTACAAAGCCACTTAAACGAATTTTAAAACAGGCCAGTTTCTGGATTAGATTGTTTTCAAATGTATTTTATGTTATGCATGGTAGCCGCTTTTGTCGTGCAAGCACATCTGGGAGGATCATTGTTGACAGTGAAGAGGGCCTATCAGGATCACTTGGCATCGATGGACGGAATAGGGACGAAGCTTCTCATCAGCCACAATACGAATCATATTTTACACTCCTTCGAGCACTTAAGTCCTCGGGCCAGTGTTAAGTGTAGGGAAAGAATTAGAACAAGTAATGAGTGAAACCATTCCGAGAACAAATAGAAAGGAAGAAAACGCTCAGAGAATATATATATATTTACATCAGATACAAAGGTAGAAATCATACAGAGATGGAATTTAATAAAAATCGAAGGAGGTATTACATTCAGGGTTCATAGTTTGTGAATATGACCTTACTGGTGTTAGGTTCACGCAGCTTTAATAATCGTGTAGAACACTCGCAGGCACATAAACAATATTCTCTAAATATCGGAATGACCTTAAGAAAGGCACGTTGTCAGTTTCCTTCCGTTCGACACGACTACAACAAGCTGACTGCCGCCGGCGCATCAAATCAAAACTTATGATTACAGTACTTGTGGTATCAACAGTCCCAGCAGCCTCAACAGCCTGGTATAATATGTGTACCATTCTTCTTTTACTAATTTATATTGTTCGTAAGCATGCTTACTGCATCCCCGCAGCAACTGGTTTCGCGTCACATCAGTGCCTTAAAATTATGATGTTGCCGTGAAACGTCATATTCAAGCCAGATAGTCCGCATCTCTGCAGCAAAAGTCCATCAGCTACTTATTGTGGCGGCTCAATGCCATGTGGGTGTCAATTGATTTTCGGTCTTATTTCTCACTCTACCTTTGCGTATCTCTGAGACCACAATCTTGTTTTAACATAGCCTTGTCTATATAGAAGGCTATGGTTTTACCATCCTAGATTACAGCATGGTATCAAGTTGGGCCGAGTTCGTTTCTATTCTTTCTCTCAATAGAAGGCGCGTTGAAGTGATTCGTCGTGCTGAGCTGTGATACGCTCTAACGGTAAGTTATCATTCGATACAAGCATGAGACGATTGACAGCGCGATGCAGCCGTATCTCCAGCTACTCCTCGGGAGTACATAGTCTGGTTGACAATGAAATGACTGTCACGTGCTTTCCTGACACGTATGTCTTTTGACTCGTAAGCAAGACAGGTTCCGTTAGCCTTGAGGTGTCATCAGGTGCAATGCCACATCGATTCAACTGATTGTATATAGTTAGAGATGCCTACGGCCACAGGATAATGGACTCGACGGGGTGGTTAATCCCGCTCCTCTATACTAGTAGCCCCAAGCCATATCTGTGTGACTAGTGCTACTATATTGCTTCGTTCGACGGTAGCTGTCTTCACACGGGCCCTTCAGCCCTACATAGTCCTGGTACATGAAATTAGGTCACATCCGCATTTGCTGTCACCAAACTTCTTTAAGATGTCCGCAGAAGTACTAGAGAGCTCTTGCCCGCTCTCCTGTCTCCGCCATATGGCGTGGCTCACTCCCGCGACTCAGCTTCACTCCAGCTTCAGATGTCTATACGCGCGTTGCAGGGTTTGCTTCAGCTCCACCGGGTCAACAATGATGGGGTGGTACTTGAACATCTGATAGCAATTGCCGTGCGGCTGGTAGTAATGACTTTTCAGCCAGCTTTGTTCATCCTCCTACACTCCATTGATCGATACAATGAGATACGAAAGATTGATCAGGCGGAGGACATTGCTAAAGTGATACACACCCACGGAATAAAAGTATCAAGGCGGGAATCATAGAAATGGGTGATATGACTGGACATGGCAGATAAGTACAGAATCATTCGTTGGCCCTCGACGCTCTAGCCAAGATGGTGTCTGCATATTGACTGTTCTGTAGGCCCGACAAGGAATATACTACTCCACATGTAGTTGTATGCAACAACAAACAACAACACAGGCAAAACATAAAGTAGTATGTAAGGAAGATCATAGAGTAGCATCGGGCACTCTGGTGGTGAGATTTGTTCTATAGCCACTTTAAAGCGATACAGGCCAGAACCACAATATACGCAATATCAAACCACAAACTATTACACTCGTAATACTCTATAGTCGTACCAGCCATATTGTCCGGGTCATGCCTTGCATAAGTGACAAAGAAAATCGAAATTTGAAACGTGTATCGAGATACACTACCTCGATACTACACCATACGCGCCAACAAAACAATATAAGCATCCACATGCCCGTACCTGGCACTCTGGAAGATGGTATGCCTTGTATAGGGACTGATCCGTAAGCTCGACTCCCGGTACAGCATCGAGAGACTGGTAGTAACCACCGCCTGAAGAGTACAGCTCACGAAACGAGCGCGAGTTCCAACCCACAGGGATGACCTCTGTACGATATGTGAGAGATGAATAGTTCGATAATGTGTTAGAGATAGAGAAGTTATGTATGTGGGGTCTTGGAGTCGAACGCTTAAGGGTGTGTAATAACGTCTTGCAATAAAGATGCATATAATACACACACACGCACATATAAATATATATACCAAATATCATACATACACGCTAGCCCAATACCACACAAATATGTTAAATACCAAAAAATACGGCTGAAAAAGGGCTGTGGAACAATATACTGTACGTAACATGCATGAAGAGCGTGTGAATAAATGTACAGGAGCATCGACGTGGGCACAATCAACTTCCCATGAGCGTATACTTACACTTACTGGTACAAATATTTTATGAATACGCGAACAAAAAATAAAATAAAATCAACAAAGACGTGTAGGTACCACGGCGCCCATACTTGATCGCAGGAATGATCAAATGCTTTCCGTGTCAACTTGTCGTTATGGTTGTACAGCAAGTGAAGTGTGGGAGTTTGCACGAATCAGCCGAAAACCTAGTTTATCTATAACCGAGCAGCACTGCGATAGACATATTAGTGCTACTCGGTTCTTGATATCTTATGTGCCATTTCGATTATAGGTGCTGGTGAAAGATGAGGCGCACACGCACTGTACACTAGGTGCATGTAGGTAGGCACAAAAATACAAATCTCCATTCGGCGCTATAGTCATGTACCTAGTACACGAGCAAACTATACCCATGTAGGCCTATACCGTAGTTGCCCATGCGTTGTATGTTTGCAACCTCCACAGCACGCAGGCTTGTACCGCCCGTTGTCTCAATGTGCACACCATACACATACCGATGAGTGCCGAGTTGGTGTTCATAAAGTACGTGTTCGTGAGTCCCGCCCCATGCACGCCAACCACCACGTGGGCTCTGCTGAACTTCTCGAATTGCTCATACACAGATAGCTCGCTTAGGAGCGGCACAAACTCCACTTCAACGTCGGTGTCTATATCATCTGCGCTCTTCTTGATCTGTTCCACGAAGTCTTTGGGATCGTACCAGTTGCGGCCGTGTTTGACGAGGCGATCGTATACAAGCACGTGCACAGTGCCTTTGATCTGAAGAAGATTGATTGATTGGTTGATATTTGATCAGTCTACAAGTGTTGATGTAGCTTAGGCACAGCAATGCAGCCCACGACTCGGCCTAGCCTTGTCAGATACGTCGATGCGCAATATGGCCGTTAAAAAATAGACAAGATGTATGAATGTACTTCTAAATATGTGAATGCATATATGTATATTCTATAAAGATCTTATGCTATAACAGTATGTCAATGAATCTGAAAGGGCAAAAATACAAATTGCATCAATGTACACCACAAAGCAAGTCTACTCCCCACGACACCTACATGGGGAGGATATTGAGCTTCACATCCTTTCTCAAAATTTACAACTCAAGCTATGTACCATACTAACAGCATATCTGCCACATACATATTTTGCTTGCATACTCATTGAGCTCACAAATACACTCTCTCTACACATACATACCGCCGCTTGCATATTTGTGACCTTCTCCTTGTGCATCGTATACACCTCGTATCGGAGTCTCTGCTTTGAAATGCTCCCCGTCACCGGTGTGTAGGACTTTCCCAAAGCCACGCCATTCCGAGAACAGATAATCTTCTTGAAGTGTAGATCGCGCTTGAAACGGCACGAGCTCGTGTCCTTGGTTGGCTGGGGGTGGTCCCATATCGAATCTCGATCAAGTAGGTAGCCATCGAACCTTTCATTTTCAATAACATTGTCCTTTCCGTCGGCTGTTTTGAGCGTTGAGTTTGTCTCGGTACCATTTGCAACATCAGAAGTAGCGGATTTGATACCCAGACCCTCTTTGACCGCGTTCACATTGTGGTTGTAGAAATAACTTTTCCCAATCTCGGCGATGGTTTCTTTCCAGAAATTGAAGTAATTAGACTCGCAGATCCGATTAGTCTCCACAAATACACTTCCGCTGAGAGACATCGCAGGTATGCCGTTCTTCAGATCACTCAATAAATTCCACCAGGGGAGCACACTGATTAGCGACAGGAACGCGTTGTCAACCGATGGCTGTAGAAACAGCGAGTTGTCGGGCAACCTGAAATACACAGTATCACAGGGACACATGGTGAGAACGTGCACAAAAGGTACTAGACTACATGTCTGGTGAGAATGTGCAGAAACGGGACTAGGATAAATGTCCTAGCCGTGTTGGGAATACGCTAGATAGCTTGGAAACGGTATGCATTACTGGGAACAAACTCGGGTACGAAAACCAGACAAAGTACCAATAGGAGTAGATATATATTTAAGCATATGCGTCGCAAATCCCATCCGAGTAGCAGGCCATGCACGCGGACAGTGAATATGCAGTAGAGCAGCCAGTACAGTAGAGGTCCAGACAATAGACCCGGCTGGACAGCCAAAACAGAGAGCAACCTCAAATGTACGATGTGACGAGTGGGGAACGTGTATTTTCAATATATCTGAGTGCAATTGCTTTTGTGTTCTATATCGATATGTGATTAGCAATTCCTTGCCACGCCGTGTGGTAACAAAAACAATGAGAGATTGACTTTCAGATATACATGATACACGGAAATAAACCTGGACAAATAGGTCAATCTCTACTAATAGAAATGAAGCTATGTTTTGCAGATAGCATGGGCTTTCGAATCAGATTTTTTTCTAAGTTGTACACCGCCTTTCTATACTATATTCGTGCTACAGTGCGAGCGATCGCACATCAAAAATTTCGAACCAAATCGCATGTGTACCCATTGGTACGCAATACTTGCACAATTTGAGTGCATTCAGACACACACACATAAAGACACCCACTCTGCCCTGGATATAGAGTTCAACATAACCAGATGCAACTAGCGCCTAGTACGAGCAAGTATGTACACACCATCCTACTGAAGTATCTTTGTTCTCCACTTGTCTTCTCAGAAAATCAACACTCCTACTTTCGATGAGCATATTGTGGCCTAAGGGTACCATCTTCTTATCTATACCCATCATATTGTCCAGGCGCGTATCCTCTTGCTCATGCCTTGACCATGTACAATCACTTCCCTGCCCCATGTGAAATTTTGGATACCCTCGCAAGTTGTTTTCTATTCCATCATCGGAATTGGCAACGACGGCAAAATACGTACCACCGTCAAAACACAAGGTCTGATATACACACGCACTGGAATCATCTCCCCGCGCCTGACACTTTACTGGTGGCCTATTCGCGTCGTATGTGGGTATGTAGTTAAAATTCGGGATACCATTGTTGACATTTATATCAGCGTCTTGTGTGATATCTTCAACATTTGACGATGTTTCTGCGTTGGAAATGCTATCTTCAGCATTTGACGACGTGTCTGCATTAGAATTGTGTATATTGTTGTAAGCTTTCTGAACTACACTGTTAACCCAGTCGGCGGTTTGACGCACATCGGCGTGCGAGCTCTCATGGTTGTACAGAACCACGCACAACAGAGCGATCAGTGCAAGCACAGGAACTACTTTGGCTATCCGTCCCCCTCCCCATCGCATGAGAGACGGCATCATAATTAGCTATAGTTACCCTCCAGCCCAGTGAATACGTTTTGCACTTCTTGTACGTAAATCAACACGATACTTCCAACAAGCTTTATCTGTCAAACATATTATTTAGTTTACTTCTCTCATTTCACTTCTCTCTCTCTCTCTCTCTCTGGTAAATGTTTAAATGGTTGCACTTTACAACAAGAATTAAATAGTATGTAAATATGTATTACGTGTTCAGTTCGAATTTGGCCGTCGTTAAGGCGTTATTTATTATGGCAAACTGTAATGTTTACTCCCCGGCAAATTTTTGATTTTCTCACTGATCAATATTTAAACGTAATCCAATTGGTTGTTATTTTAACCCATTGGTCCGTGGTTTTAGAAGTCTGTCCGGCTGTTCAACTGTTGTCCGTGTGAAACAGCTCTGAGTCTGTGACAGACTATTTATGTATTTGTTGAGTCTGTGAGTCCGTGACAGACTATTTATGTATTTGTTTATATATATAAAAACCAGTGGTTTGCGGCTTTGCGGTTTGCGCCTGTAACAATACTATGTAAGAAATTATGAGACGATCAATAAAACCGTTTAAAAACGGTTGATAAATCGTTTCAAAACAATATTATCGTAATGGCGTGTGATTCTTGGGCTTTATACTTCAAGAAGTTAAAAAAAAAACATGAAAAAAATAGACATGTAAATATGTATGGCAGTAATCGCCCCTGGCCAAGGGTTACCCCGCCGAGTACCGGGCTGCCGACGTCCAATGTTTTGGCCTCCCTTGCATTCGCTCTCTTCAAATTTCAAAAAGAATAAATCTAATAAAGTCTAACGCAGTGTTATATTTATTTACCTTTTTTTATTTACACATCAGCCGAGTGTAAACGTACACACAAGCGCATAACTCAAAATAGATGTATTTCATATATGACTGCCCTGGCGTGTCATGTCCTAAGATAAATAACAAAACAGCGGTACTACTTTCAGAGCGATACACACCCTGATTGAGTACATTTTTAGTGTGATATAAAAACGGTGACTATGTGTGACTCAAAAGTGCCACTACTGGTGTGTACGTTTGTTGCCTCGACTTTCCTCATCATGTTGACAGCCATCACCATGCACAAAGAATCTATGTACTCTTTCGACCTCGAGAGCTTAGGTCTGAGTGGTAAAGTGAATGGGACAGCCCTACACGACTGGTTTAGTGAATTGGGTATACCGAATGTAAATATAAGTATGCCTGATATACCCGAATGGGCGTCTAGTTTAGGTGGAGGCCTCACCACCTTTGTAAGTTGGCCCTCCGGTATGAGTTCCAAGTTAAATGGGTGTAACTTCGATGAGTGTACCTACGGACCACCATACTTGTACTTTCTTGTCCCGTATCGCAACCGGGGCAAGGGTCTGCAGCGCTTGGTGTTGGCAATGGATATAGATGCTGCACAAGCGAAGACCACTAACGCCAAATGTGTATGCTTTGGGATAGGTGATTACGATGACGAAGTGAGCGGCTTGACCTCCTTAGAAGCGATGGAGTATTGGAAGGGAAGTCATCACATTGCTTCTTTGAATGGTAATTTCTCGAGAGGAGGGGGCATTGAGCGCCTTTTTAAGCCGAATTCGATACTCGTCACACCAGAAGAACAAAGTATTCTGTATGTTATGGATACGGATATGATGGTATGGCCCGGTTTCCTTGACGACCTGATTCTGAATACACAGCCTGATATGGGTACTGTTCCCGTGTGTTGGTCACTGACTGACTACAGCATCCGAAACAATAAGACCGCTGGCTGGTGGCGTCATAGTGGGAAAGGCATGTGGAGTATATACGCAGATAAGTTAAGAAAGGCTACAAATATGACCATTTGTGGGTCTAGTAGCAAGTCCTGGGGAGGCGAAGACCTGGGTATGCAGAAAGATCTACGATTCGCCAAAAATCCTGCTAGAATGAAACGCTACTGCAATCCGTATCTCTACCATCTGGCACACCCAAAGGTTAGCTGGAAAGATTCGGTCGACGGAATGGGTAACACCGAATTCTTGGCACCGGAAAAGGAGAAGTGGTATTTGGAAACCATTTATAATGGGTCTTTATGGGAAAACTATGATATAGGACCACCTTTAGGTAGGTGTGACAACTTCACTAGAATGCTTAATAACGAATGGGCGTTGACTTATAGGTAGAGTACATGTACAATATACACGCATGCATGCGATTGGTTATCGCTGAACGGAAGGAGAAATGGACCATGGGTTAGCAGAAGTTAGAAGTGATATAGTCACAAGTTAAGTCGAGCAGGGGGCAGATGAAGGCGCGAAGACAAAGAGATAGGTTTGTAAGTGTCGCTGATTAGTGTAAAGTCTGCGTTCCTATTCAGCGATTCAACTCTATAGAGTACTATTGTATCAAAACACAAGTATATTTTAAATTTTCAGAACAGATCTACGAATATAACGTAAATATAATAAATAAACATTACAGCTCTTCATGCCTAGCTAGAGTTACCTTAACGAGCAAGTAAAAGTCATGCAAGTATTCACATTTACACCTATATAGTATATATTCATAGCTGAATTATTCTTCGGTTGGCACTTGGTAAGTTGGTCCTCTCTCTCTCTATTATATATTACTTTAAATACTACGTAAAATCTTAAATATACAAAGCCTTCTTTAAAATTTAAACAAAGTACAGCTGAAAATATCATGACCCTCTACTACTATATACATACGACTAGAGAAGAAATAAAACAAGTGGCCGTGTTTGAACAAGTATAAATACAGTGTATTTATGTACGTAGATTAAATAGAAGGCTATGACTGTATGTACTGTCTGTATTTTGTTTTTATATAAAAAACAAATAGATCAAGATGAGTGACATGACTAATATTTTAGGTGTATGTATTTTGATTGTAATCACATATTTATCATAGCCTTCTTCTATGGTCTTTTTTATTTAGTATCATTTTAACAAAATGACGTACACAGCCACAGTGATATTAAAATGGCCTATGGGGCTTCACAATAGATTTTTGGTAATATGATATTGTAAAGCAAATAGTAAATATTGTCATATGCCGTATGAAAATTGAACATTGTCTATAAAAAATGAATATGTATCACGTAGACTTGTGTTGATGTGGTACCAGACTACACAACAAAATCTCAATACTGTTTAGAGCACAAATCCATATACTTGTGTAAACTCGTGTAAGTGGCTTACATTGCTGTCAAATAGCTCGAATGCGCTTGAAAGGCGGAGTGCAGGCATTGTTCATTTTTTTTTGCCTGGTTATAATACACCTCGCTTCTGCTCAAGGATTGGACAACTCAGTACAGGTAAGTGTAACAATGAAGAGACTGCTCTATGAGAAATTGTTTTCGATAGAGGAACTTCTGTCCGTTACAGACATATCAATATGGTCCGTTCAAGGCAACATGTCTCTAGTATATATTCTTTTCGAAGAATTATATATATATATATATATATATAATATATATATATATGTATATATATATATATATATTATACTTATATATATGTATATATATATTATATATAAATATATAGATATTTATAGGTGTGTGTGTGTGTGTGCGTGTGTGCGTGTGTGTTTGTATATGTGTGTATATGTGTGAGTATGTATGATTCGCTAAAAGGGGTTGACCTTTGTTTTGGTGCCGAGATGTAAGTATACACATACATAAATCTTTGTAGTGACAATGGTTGATATTCATATACTGAAACGTGAGATATTGATCATCGATATTCTTATCCACTAATTTGGCTGCCATCGTCTATGTATTTGTATCCCACAGCAGAGCTGCAGTGGTGGTGTAGATGCAGTCGCCAATGATGAGGACTTGAAACCTCAAAGCATACAAGAGCTGGTACATCGCATTGATGCTCTGTCCCTCGACTTAGCGCAGCTCAAGGTATGTGCGATTGACGTACAAGTGAGAGAGAGAGTGTGTGTGTGAACCGTAGAAACATCGCGTGCATGCTTCGAAGTGTCTGGCAACTCTCGTTTTCCTTGTAGTTTAACGCACCCTATACCATATATCGTGCATCGTAGTGCTTTCATATGGCTTGGTATGATGCAGCTGTTTTCGTTCACATTTGAGTCCGCACACCTATCACTAATATTTGTGTACTTAAGTCGCGGTGTGATCTGCCTCTACTTAAGAATTCGTGTAGAAGAGCGAATATTCGTGTCATCATTAGTTTTAAACTCGATGTACTCCACGTCATACCTGCCTGACTGTTCACTACTTGTATCTTGTTAACAATGCTCGATTTCTGTTTAGATACAAATAATCTACTTCTATTACATGCATAAAACAACACGCTACTTCTATCCTATCAGCAATGCACTATTTGTGTTTTATTAGCAGCACTCAACTCATATTCCAGCAATAAAACAAAACACTTCTTTTTGTGCAGGAGGCGATACACGCAGCGGCGGTAGAGGTTCTGCCAGCGAAGGACGTTGGGGATGATTATGCTACTTTGCACAGGATTCTCACATCGGAAAGGCTGATGTCCGCGCGTACTACAATTGGGACCAAACCTTCCGACGATGTGAAGCTACTACCAGGGCGGGGCGCCTTTCCCAGTTTGTATAAGGTGAGTGTGCGAGAGGTTATTTTTGGAAGTGTATTCCATAGGTCGTGGTGAATGAGTAGGAACACGGTACTCGGTGCCACGTACAGTGTTGCGTTCCCATTTGATTATGTATGCAGTTATCTGCAGATGAGCGTTGCACATACCCTATTGAGAGTGTATGCAGTTATTTGCAGATGAGTGTTGTGCATTCCCTATTGATTATGTATGCATTTATCTGCGATGAGCGTTGCACATTCTCTATTGAGAGTATATGCGGTTATCTGCAGATGAGTGTTGTACATTCCCTATTGATTATGTATGCATTTATCTGCGATGAGCGTTGCACATTCCCTATTGAGAGTAAATGCATTATTAACAGATGAGCGTTGTACATTCCCTATTGAGAGTGTATGCATTTACCTGAACTCTCATTTGCAATGTGCTGTACATCTACGCCCGCAGTTTGTTGTTCCTATGTGGCAGGGCCTTTAAGAGCTGTCGTGGTTTTATATTTAAATTCCACCAGAAATATTGCTATTCACATTTATCGACAAACTTGCATTTCACACTCACATGCATTTGCTTTGCTGTTGTAGATCAAAACTAAGCCATATGAGAGGACCATGTTTGATATGGCGGTGTCCTTCGACGTCTACGCGGGCGACACTTACTTGGGAGAATTCCGACAGGTACATTTGAATTGCTAGGTAGTTCTTACCAGAAACTGTGCTATGTAGAGGCACTACTTCAATAGAATTGCCTCTGGACCCGTGAGCATAAATTGGCTGGAAAGCGAGTTGGTGGCGTGAGATGTATGTAGATGTTGCTCGTGGCGTGGTTATCTGTGGGTTAGGCTGCTATTGTCTACTATTTGCTTATACGTTTGATCTAATTGCGACATGTTGGTCATGCTGCTCGTTAAGTTCCCATGTACGGATGCAGTTAGTACACGGATTGTACTTTAAACAGCGCCGGATGACTACCAAAGCTCAATTGTAGTCAGAATATGGGGCGCTCAGACGTACTCTTTCTCTGCGGTATTTGGCCGGTACGTTGGTCTTACGTTTATTGTACTGCTAGACTCTGTTGTGCGATTGAGATGGTGTGACATTTGCTACACAATCAGTCATTGTTGTATATTCGTTGCTACCTTGTCTAAGATTTGATATCGCTCTTGATCATATTCTGCAGAGCTACCCCTGGGTCCGAGCCTTCTGGGATGAGATTGTTTTCTGGGACAAACATGGTCACTTTGTAGGGCAGGTCAGTCTTTACCTTTATAATCCCGATGCGTTTTATTTTAGTTCATTTGTTTGTTAACTTCTGTTTAACCGGGCAAACAGTAATTTCGACTGCAGCCGACTTTCTCGTTCCTGGACTTCTTAGGCTGGGCTTTGTTTAGACTATGTGACGCCTGTATCTGATCAATGAAGTCTGTAGCCCGTTTCTAATGTTTGTAGTAATACGTTTGACTATTCATCAGTCCAAAAGCAATGAGTTTTCGAAAACGTAACTTTGCACACACCGAGTCACACTCACGGGTGCCCTGCTCCGAGAATTTACTCAGCATCTAATAGTCATACTGGAAGTCTTGTGTTACATAGATGCATCTATTTACCGGCGCGCGTCTATCACTGTTGTCATGCCAACCCCCATCACACAATACCCCCCATCCCACAGCTGCACTTTAGTCTGCTAAAGTATTTGTGGTTTATCCCCAATACCTTCTACGGGACGCGGTATTGCTGGCTTCGTACGGCCGATGGCAATCTGATCATGCACGGCTCAGAGGAGCCTTTCCTGACGCTAGCCGTCAGGGCGGAACAGCCTGGCATCGAATTCCAAGGCAGGTCGGGGTGAGCCATTTGAGTCTGGGTGTGGATATGTACTTAATGACTGCATGTACGTACGTGTATACAGAAGAGCTATAGGAAAGTCGGGGTGAGCCATTTGAGTCTGGGTGTGGATATGTACTTAATGATTGCATGTACGTACGTGTATATAGAAGAGCTATGGGAGTGTAAAAGTTGAGCTTGAAGTATTGGCGCACAATTTGTGATTATTACTGAACAGCGGTGGGTATTATACTGGTTTTTTTTGGATTTTTTTTTGGAACAAACTCAGCGTTGAGCATGTTCCGTGCCTATGTTGATTTCGGCGAATTGAAATCACTCCTGTGGCCTACTGCACAATGTGTGCATAGTCAGTCCAGCATGAAAGGATAGCCACTGCATATACATAATTAAAATGCTAACGCGATACAATTAGTTACGCCAAAATTGACGCCAAAACGTACAACTGAAAATAAAACAGGACGGCGACTGCATGTCCTTCATACATAACCTGAAACTATACCGATATAAAGTTTCCGAAGCTATATCGCATATGAGTTCAAATTATCTCTTCTTTGTGAGATAATCATCTCCTTGTGTATTCTGCACACTTTACCATTTGACGTTTTCCTCAACCACATGACCTACGGGCGTATTTATAGTTGTATGATCGCTTCTGGCACTCTGACATCCTCTGGGGCTCCCCATCAGGCAGCCACCTCATGTTCGTGATCTTAATCCGTTGTGGAATCTGCTATAATAACCACTTCCTATATCACACTCGCACTCTAACTCTAGTGGAGCGTTTAAACATACAGTTGTAATAATATCCCAATCTCCTACAGTACCGGGCAGTGACCGACACTTTAAGTCTCGTATGACTAATACGATACCCCCGAGGAAATGGCTGGTCGTGGATAAAGACTCTGGTGATAAGGTCAGTAGTATCAGCGAATATATTTGTAGATAAAGACTGGCGACAAGGTCAGTAGTATAAGCGAATATATTTGTAGATAAAGACTCTGGTGATAAGGTCAGTAGTATCAGCGTGTATATTTGTAGATAAAGACTCTGGTGATAAGGTCAGTAGTATCAGCGTGTATATTTGTAGATAAAGACTCTGGTGATAAGGTCAGTGGTATCAGCGAATATATTTGTACAGCAACCAGTCAGCATTTATCCTTACTCTGGCATGACTCCTTTTGAATTATTTCATTTCTAAAAGGGTGAGTAGGCTTATTGTTCGAGATTCTAAAGGCTATATTTGTTCCCCAACTGAACCTATGACCCGTAGATGGCCACAATTGAAGAGAGCTATACCACAGATGTATTCAAGCGCCACTTCTCGGGATGGTCTGTGGAAGTGCCGGAATACACAGCAATAGATCCTCGAGTGGCAGGTACGTGAATCTTGTATAACGTTAATTTTGTGTATGTTCGGTATTTTTAAACGAGCGTTTCAGCTGGCTACGTACGTCAGTGTTGGGCTGCTCTCCGTAAACGTTTATCATTTGTATGGTGAATTGGAACCTCAAAGGAATCCTTGCTGGTCTTCCAAAGCAGCCTCTAGCTCATACAAATCATAAACGGCTTTTGCAGGTTTCCTCGCAGCTTTTGATCTGGCTGAAGAGATGGACACACTGCCGAGTGTGATCCGTACTGTGGGATTCTTTTTGCTGTGCTTCATGTTCCCGTACTTCTTCTTCAGATGACGCAGCCTGATTGGCTTTCTGTGCGGCACATCCGATTCGGTGCAGCCCTTACTATGAATCAACTACAAGATACGCCTGGATTAAACTGCCTATAAACGAGCATTGTTGCCTGAGTCAGTAAACTCGTTTTCTTGTTAAATAGATCACATTTCTACCTCGCCATCGGTGGATAGCGATAGTGTGTTCGAGCAAAATTCATTACCGTGACGCTCAGTGCTTACCTCGCACGTCGCTTGGTGACTGTCTAGAGACTACAAATACATAGCTATGTGATTTGTATATATTCAGATACAGTAATTTTGAAGATAATCGCACATTATTTGAGAGCCAGCCTGAATATCGACTGCTCAGTGGGAGCTTCGATCGTTGTATACGCCATGTATTTATTGGTTTCTTTAGTTTTTTTTGGCAATTGATTTGCCGAAATCGCCGATTTTGGTTGCATGTAAGTGCAGGCGAGGTATTGATCCTGAATTGCTATGGTTAAAAGGTAGCCACACAGTTTGTTTAGAGTCATCATCACTGCTCTGTAATGTACGACTCGACTGTGGGTGAGATGTCCAAGTCGAGTCACGTAGCACGGTGCTCCGCCAACTGATAATTACTTGAGAGCTTGGCAGCGAGTGATAGTCTGTAGTAATAGTTGTTGCGGCTAGGATTGAATGTACTTTTAGTATTTCATAATCGACGCTTTTGGAGATTTCTATGTATTGTATTTAAATTTTTTTAGAACTCTTTTGTCATGTACAGTGGCATTTACATATCAGATATGTGGCTCGTTATGAGCAATAAATTTGAGTGTGATTACATTGCTGCCGATGGGAAAAGCATTCATTAAACAAATGAAGTAACTCTGAGTTGGACCGGCGGGCCAATACCTTCAACTGGAAGGCGATCACTTAGAATGTCCGAGGAGCACTTGGCAAGTCCGGTGTCTGTGCAACGAGCAGCTAGAACAGATTCAATTTTAACAACAGCCTCTTCAGGGATACACGTATGCGGCTACATCATCATATACAACCCAAGGGGCCTCCTCGTGTGGGAAATATCTCCAGATGTACTTGCCGGTATACGTGATGCATATATACGTCAGCATTTGTGCGAAGCAGCATATCTCCGCCATCTTTCGGTTATAGTGTAGGTAGGCTGTATGGAGCAGTTCAACCAGCCTCACCGATGCTATGCTTGGCTCCATGATTTTACACCAATGCCTTAGGATACCAATGTATCCCTGCCGCTTAGGTAATGACCGCTTGGTATGTTATTCCAGAAACAGTCTTTAATGATAAGGTGATGTATAAATTGCATTTCGTCCTGTATATCTACTTGTATCATGTGTGCAAATAATTCCCGCCGACAGAGAGTAGTTATGCTTCCCAAGATTCTCGAAAAATACTACGGTACATGCATATCAAGCGATTCCCTGGAATAAAGGTATATAATGATTGTGCATTATCGAGACCAGCCCTTTGAAATGAGTATGATTGGAATCAGAACGCCTTTAATAGTGTGAATAAGGATTTGTGTTATAGATTAGATAGAATTGTTTTATCTTCGCAATCAAATTGGCATATTGCCATGTTATCCGAGTTGTAATCTACTGTGTAACTTATATGAAAGTTTGGTTCATAAACGAATGAGAAAGCAGCATGTCGTACGTCTAAAATGTCTGCCATCTTTTCTTGTCAATTTTGAGACACACACACTTTATGATGATCTGTACAAGATACTCACACATGCCTTCTGCCATATGTAGATATGCTACTTCAGATGACTGACACCCCCCTGGTTGCAGCTGAGGTGTCTAACTTCTGACTTCAAAATAGGTTGAGATACCTCATTAATGTTGATTCAACTGGCCAAGGAATCGCTCTCCAGGAAGATACTAAAAGTCATTTAAGTTGGGACCAGCGGAAATATACACATTAAAAAGAGAAATAAAAGACCTCTCAATTTTAATGAACACACGGTATTAAATGTAAATATTAAAGTGCAAGGAAAGTAAATATATATTTAGAAATGCAATTGTAAATGCGTGAGTATTCTGAACAAATGTGCTTCTGAACCGCCTTGGAAACTGACTTATACCTACAATACCAATTTGCCCAATATAATTACATCTTTTAAAATGTACCAGATACTATGTAGTCCCGCATTTCGCGCGGACAAGACTACTAAAGTACATTATCGTTCGTCCTATATTTTCCACAGGTTTTGGTCCACTCAAACTCGTACCAGTAGGTATTCAGAGAATACTCTGGCATTTCTTGTCCAACTAGCATTCGATATATTTGATATAAGCTTACAGTCACTTCGCCGAAACCAGCTCTTTAATCCTTTTGTTAAAAATATTACAATCTGGTTCCTAGCACGTGTGTCTTCCTGCCTCATATGTGTCTACTTTCTAATGACCTGTGCAAGAGTTGATCAGACTTATCAAGCCGTCTTTTACATTGCCACTCCCGTGTTACGTAGTACATATATATCAAGCCGTTCCGTATCAGTTGTTTAATACGGAGTCGCCGAAGTCTTCAGCCTTTTCAGATTCGCCTCTGTTTGCCATGCCTTTCCTTCAGGACCTTTTACAACTGGGCTACATACGCGGTTCTAATACAATGTGGGTTGACCTATAATCGGTCTAACAATCGATCCGCTCTGGTCACGGCATCTATGAAACCCCACGAAAGGCTGAATGCGGCTTGTAATTCATCGCCTGAGTTTAGTATCTACCAGAACTGACCACTCTCCATGGCCCCTGCAGTATATAACGCAAAGAACGGATGGCTCAGAAGCCCTTCAATTTGTATTTTCGTCTCCATTAGTGTCTGTTGAAGCCGTGTCGTACCTTAGACCAGCATACCTCTGATCAAGCAAAACTCAAGGTATTAAATTCGTGTGCTCTTCTTGGCCACTTCCTGCCGAGCATGCATCGTATATTGGTTTTCATATAACCACGTGCAGTCTGTGTTAAGTTCTATAGGGCACTCCGCTGAAAAATACTGTGAATCTATTCGTCAATTAGTCCGTGCATCAGCAATGCCCTATCTATGGCTCGGATTTGACTCTTTCCATCACTGTGTTGTATGGAAAAGCTATATTAGCGGCGCACTTCGCAATCTCGTTCCTCCAGGTA